CCATCAATGCAAGAGCTGATCCATCATCATCATTGTTGTGTTGATGCTGATACTCTGAGCGGTCTCCTCAACGGCAGCCTGGGCTCTCTCTCCTCAACGGCGGGCTTGGCGGCCTTGGCAGCTTGCACGGCAACAGTGTCGAGAGTCTGGCGACCGAGAGAGGTGATCATGCGACCACCCTTCATGGCGTCACTTTGGGCGATGAAACCCATCTTCTCCAACTGCTGGAGCAAGAACCTGTTAAAGAGGTCGTTTCTTGATTATTCACGATGACGATGATTTCCCGGGTTACTACTACTACTACTACTACTACTACTACTACTACTACTACCTGTTGATCTTGCCGGCACCGAGAGTGAAGTGAGTACGGCAAGTACCGGAGTTGGACTTCATCCCGAAGATCTTACGGAGAGCACCGACGCCGATGTTGGGGCGAATGTAACTGAAAAATGCACTTTGAGAAAATTCTCATCTAATCGGCTAAGGTAAGTACATTCGGCGAGCGATGGCAGCAGCACGAATGTAGAGGTAGTCATCATCATAGGGGGCAAGCTCTCTCTGGGTGCCAGTCTTGATGTACTCGGCCCACTGCATGAGGAAGCGTAGGGTTAGGTAGTGGTGATAGTAGTAGTACCTTGGGGACCTCCATCTGGCCCTGGGCCTTCAAATGAGCGGCGAAGGCCTTGATGAAGAGCTCAGCGGGGACATCCTTTACGGTCTTAGCATCATATTTGGCGACTAGCTCACACATGATGGTGGTGGTAGTTAGAAGAAGTACACAACAACGTCTGGGGGACTAGGCCGCCTCTCAACACGGAAAATTGACAAAATCGATCACGTGATCGATAGCCTCAAATTCGCCGCGCCGGCCTAGTCGAAGTACTCTTATCGTAGGGAGCGACATGAACGGTGTTAAGAAGTAGAGATAGCGCTAGTCGTGGTCCCTATGGTGTACCATGTAAAAAGGGTGTCATTCTATCTCCACTAGAAAGAAGACAGTTATGGAGTAGATGGAATCGTAACCATCCATTTGGTATATTTCACCAAATCAAGCTCACTAGATGGTGTTTCAATACAGTTCGGGGGACTAGCAATTGCTATGATGTCGACTTCAAAGGACGTTGTAT